CTTCGTATTACGGTGAAACCGGTATATCAATTAATTTGCCTATCCAATCCAAATATATGTAGAGATGTCGATCGATGTGATGATGTTTGTATTTTGTTGCTGCGTCTTTATCACCGTACGTTGCCGAAGTTGTTGTCGCCATGACGTCATTGTTGTTTTTATTGTTGTTGTTGTAACCAAAAACCTTTTTAAGCCTCGTTTTGCCGCACAGTGGTTCAATCTCGATGATGTTGTTGTTGTTGATGTGTTTGTTGTTTGAAATGACATTAATGTCGTTATTGTTTTTGTTGTCGTTGTTGATGTATTTGTGTTGTTGTTGTTGGTGTTGGTGTATGTGTTCAAACACCAAAGACCACTGACAACCTTAATATGAATATAACATTGAATGAAGGATTAACAAAAGTGAATCAAATTTACGAAAAAAAATAAGTGTTCAAAATAAATAATTTTAAAATAATCGTGACGTCATAAACATACTTTGAAATGATTGGTCCTCTATCCCTGACCTGAAAACGTTAACGACCAATCGTATTTGTTGGCCCGATTTGTAGTTCAGTCTCCAGGGACAAATTTTTGACCCGAACTTGTTTACATCGGTCAAGGTCACACTGGCTAGCAGGCCTTTGTGGGGTGAAGAAGAAGACGGAAAATTGTTGATGTTGTTGTTGTTGTTGATGATGAGTTTGTTGCTATTGATATTGTTGTTGATGTTAGGGCACGTATTGTTTTCATCTGTTACAACTGAAGAAAATGTTAAACGCTAAGTTCACTTTTATCATTCAAATAAACATTCAAATATCATTCATTTAATTGTAGAAAATCAATCATGCAAAAATTTCGGCAGTCGGTCGGCTGCATACTTTTGAGGCAGACGTATCCAGCCTCCAGGTAGTTTGTGTAATCCCTCCTACACGGCTGTACCAACTCGGCGATGGACGAAACGCTGACCTTACACTTCCTATTTCCGTTACAGACGGTCCCAAGGTGGTCTGTGACGTCACTGCTGCAGTTGATGTAGCC